TGGATAGCAGTCAAACCCCTACACCACTGGGCAGCATCTGCCAGAATGCACATCGTCCCACCGTCGTGCACAGCAGATATACACGTGTGCACACAGACCCTCCCACCGGGGCCACACCATCATGTGGAAGCACACACACATGCACAACAGCAGTTGTGCACACACATGCACCAAATGCCCATTCCCCCTCACTGCACACAGCACATCCAAGAGCAAACACAAGTGATGACAAGCACACAGATGCACAGGTGTCAGAGACTGGGAGCCCCAGAAGCAGACCCTGGGACAAGGATTCCAGTGAAAGCAGTTAGTGGGAGGCAATTCAGTGGGGAAGTGGCGAAGGAAGGAAGCCAGTCAAGGGAGATTTCAGGGCAGGTGACTGCTGGGGCAGCTGGATCTCAGTCCCTTGGGGACCTGGGGAGCCAGCATAGAACACACACCAGTTTTCCCAGCTGGGGGAAAGGGAGCAGGGGAGTATGTACACCCACTCCCACAGTCATCGCTGAGGGCTGCTCTCAGGGGAGTCCTCTTCAGGCACCACCAGTTGCCACATTTGTAGGCAGCTCCGAGGGGCACAGAAAGCCTCTAGATAGAAATGCAGATGCTGGAAGGTGGAGGAGGGGAGGTGGGAACTAGCCCCAAGGCCTGTGAGCTACCTGGGATGACAGCAAGTGAGGACCTGAACTGTTGTCTCTGGGGACCCCTGCCTGGTGTCTCTGGAAGCCCAGCCTTGACCTGCCACCCCTCTCCCCACCCTCCAGGGAAGGCCACACTTCCATTGTGAAAGAACTGAAGGAGACACTGAGCGCAAAGCCAGGAGCCATCGCACTGTCGGTGGGTGGCGGGGGGCTGTTGTGCGGAGTAGTCCAGGGGCTGCAGGAGGTTGGCTGGGGGGATGTGCCCGTCATTGCCATGGAGACCATCGGTGCCCACAGCTTCCACGCTGCCACGGCTGCAGGCAAGCTCATCTCTCTGCCCAAGATTACCAGGTAAGCTGCTGGGGTGCCTCCTTTGGATGTTCAGAGAGCCTTGGGGAGCCCCCCTCAGTGCTGGCTGCAAGGTAGATCCTGATATCAGACCCATTTTACAGGTGGGGAAACTGAGGCCTTGGTCACTTGCCCAGAGTCACACAGCCAGTGAGTGATAAGGCTGGGACTTGAACCCAAATTTGTGTGACTCTTTACCATGGATGTCACACTTCTTCTCATGAGGACTCTAATATTAATCATTTCTTGAGTTCCTCTGTGGCAGGGCTTTATAGACCTCATTAATTTGCCAACCATTTTACAGAGCCCCTAATATGTATGAGACACTGGCTAATCCTGCGGAGACAGTGGTGGATAAATATAGCTCTTGCTCCCAAAGAATTCATATCCCAGCCCCAAACTTTTGATAGATGTGTTTAATTAGGTTAAGGTTTTGGCCACATTACACAGGAGCCCAAAATAACAGTGACTTAAACAAGATTGAACTTTATTTCTCTCTTATATGAAAAAGTCTAGAGGCGGGCAGTCCAGGGGCAACTCCATGAAGTTGGGCACTCAGGTTCCTTGAGTTTGTTGCCCATCATCTTTGCATGAAGCTTTATGGTCCAAAATGGCTGCTTGAGTGCCAACCATCACACCCAACTCCATCTGGCAGGAAGAAGAAAGAAAGGGAAAAAGGCTATCCCCCAACCTTTAAAGACAGACATAGTGCTTCCACTTACTTCTCATTGGCCAAAGCTTAGTCACATGACCACACCTAGCTGCAAGAGAGCCTGGGAAATGTTTTATATCAGGCATCCATGTGTGCAGCTAGAATAGATATTGGGGTTGACAGCAGTCTCTGCCACAGATAAGGAAGACTGAGTCCGGGTAAGAACATCTGGTTTCCTGAGCCCAGCACTCTGGAGCTGCTGTGGTGGCTTCTGCTTCCAAGTCACTGAGACTGAAGAAGTCATGGTTGAGTCACATGTCACCTGAGAGCCAAGGTGGTCCAGGCCCTCAGGATGTTCACGGGGACAGGACCAGTGGTCACCCCCGGAACTGGGGAGAGCATCAACATATTGGTTACCAGTGACATTCCTATAGTTACATGGATCCTGCTTGTAGGCCCAGGGCCACCATTCCCCAGGCATGTGACCTTGGACAACTGACTGCACACTCTCTGCCTCAGTTTCCCTTCTGTAAAATCCAATTAATAACAGCAAAAACTATTGTTTGAGCCAATTAATAACAGCAAAAACTATTGTGATAATTAAATAATGCTTGTGAAGTGCTTGGCACCTAATACTTTCTCAAGAAGTACTCAACTGCTTATTACTATGGGGGAGTACCATTTAAGAATTTCACATAGGGCCGTGGGACTGAGTGGTCTCCGTGGAGGACTCCTTGGAGGTGGTGGCCTTATTCCTGAGCCTTGAAGGACAGGGCAGGATGTGGACAGGCAGAGCAGTGCTAAGCTTAGGAGCTTTGACCAGGTGGATTCAACCTGGAGCAAGGGTCCTTTGAAGCATTTGCTCCTGACTCAACGTTGAATAGAATATGATACTATTTATCTCGATCAAACCATCTGTTCTTTATTAGAAGACCTCACTCTGTTAGGGGAGCCCAGGGGGCTTTTCAGTTCTTCACAGCTACAGAGGATACTCCCAGGCCCCTGCCCACCGGCCCATTGCCCCCTCTCTCATGTCCGTCTCTCTCCCTCCCTCCCTCCCTGTCCCATCTCTGCCTCCCTCCTCTCTCTACTGTTTCCCTCATCCCCTTCTCTATCTCCACCTCTCCCAGTGTTGCCAAGGCCCTAGGCGTGAAGACCGTGGGGGCTCAGGCCCTGAGGCTGTTTCAGGAACACCCCATCTTCTCTGAAGTCATCTCAGACCAGGAGGCTGTGGCTGCGATTGAGAAGTTTGTGGGTACGTGCCAAGTCCTTTCTAGACCTGACCTGCTAGCTCAGGAACTAAGTGGTGGTTAACTTGGTGTGCCAAGGAATCCAATTCACCCCAAATTTTCTTTCTTTTTTTTTCTTTATGGCAGCTGGCCAGTACAGGGATCTAAACCTGTAACCTTCAGGTTATAAGGCTGCTCTCTAACCAACTGAACTAACCGGCTAGCTCCACCCCAAGTTTTCTTCACAGTTCAGTTTCTCATCCCTTCTAGAACTCCCATTAATGAAAGATAACACAGTGCAGAGGTGAAAATAGAAAAGCCAAAGCCACAAATGAAGAAGCAAACCTGATAATGGGCCGGCCTGTGGCTCACTTGGGAGAGTGTGGTGCTGCTAACACTAAAGCCACGGGTTCAGATCCCTCTGTGTAAATGGCCAGTTAGCTCACTTGGGAGAGCGTGGTGCTGACAACACCAAGTCAAGGGTTAAGATCCACTTACTGGTCATCTTTTTTTTTAAAAAAAGAAGCAAACCTGGTTACTATGACAGTAGGGAATGATAGCTGAGTATTTAAAATGTTGGTTCTGAGCTTGCTGGTAGCCAAGGTAAAAAAGGAAAGCATAGAGCTCAGAGTTGGATTCAGAGGTGGGTTTGTAGTTAGGTTGGACTCTTCCTGGGTTTGGCCTAGGACAGGGATGGCCAAAAAAAAAAAGCATTTATGCAGCCACTTAATTCCCCTGTATGCACAGCCAAGTGGCTAACCAACCGTGACACTCTTGTTCATATGATCCCTCAAAATTCTCAACACAGTGCTCAGGCAATTACAATCATTTTGTCAGTGTTAGCATTCAGGATGAAACGTAGGCTCTGGCTCAGTCTTGGAAGGTCTGACCTAGGGTGATGATGGGAGGTTTGGTCCAGGACCCGAGCGAGTCTATCCCAGGCTGAGAGCTGATTGGCTTCTTACTCCCAGCTCTGCCAACGGCGGAGGAGTCCCCTCAGGATGAAACGTAGGCTCTGGCTCAGTCTTGGAAGGTCTGACCTAGGGTGATGATGGGAGGTTTGGTCCAGGACCCGAGCAAGTATATCCCAGGCTGAGAGCTGATTGGCTTCTTACTCCCAGCTCTGCCAACGGCGGAGGAGTCCCCTCGCACCCACACTTGCATGCCCCTTCTCTGGCAGATGACGAGAAGATCCTGGTGGAGCCCGCCTGTGGGGCAGCCCTGGCCACCGTCTACAGCCATGTGGTCCAGAAGCTGCAAGGAGAGGGGAAGCTACAGGCCCCCCTACCCTCCCTCGTGGTCATCGTCTGCGGGGGCAGCAACATCAGTCTGGCCCAGCTGCGGGAGCTCAAGGAACAGCTGGGCATGGAGAACGGGCTGCCCAAGTGAGGCCCTCTCACCCGTTTGTCCCCTCTTGCTTGGGAGACCCCTGGAGGGGCTGGTGTTTGGCTGTGAGCCTGTGTCATCATGAGCCAGCTGTGCTGAGAAGCCAGAAGCTCCCTGAGGTGGGGCTAGAAGGTCAGCAGCCAGCGAGGCTGTGAGATGAACTGCTCTGTGACCATCCACAGCCACCCCTGCCAGGGTGGCAACCACCCACAAGTGACACACCATGTCCTCAGAGCATGGTGAGTAGGAAGAACCGGAATCGCAGTGGGGAGGGGCCTCCTCCAAGTGAGGTGACCCCACCCCAGGCTTTCTCCCTGGGCAGATGGATGGGGCTGTGGTCCAGGGCTGAGGAACCATCTCATCCTTCTTCCCAGGAAGCCCAACACCACCATTCCTCATTTTTCTAGTGTGCAAACTTTTTCACTGAAAAGATATGTATTTATGAAACAAAGATCGTTCGAATTTCTCCATCAGCTGTCCTCCCTTCCCCCTCATCTACCCCCACATGCCTGCTCTCAGCCCCCACACTCGACAGTGAGCAGACTCCACCCACCCCAGCACCCGGGAACCCTGGGGCCCCACAGCGAGGCCAGAAGCCCAAGTCCAGCTGGGCTCGCACGTTGGGGGGGGTGGAGGGCAAGAGTTCCCTGTATCACAGGACGCAGGTGAGGGACTGGGAGCTAAACAAGAGGGACTTGGGTGGGACAAAGGCTGCCTCCGCTGAAGGCAGAACCGAACAAAGCCAACCTCATCCTGAAATGAAGTCCTTCCTGCTAAGTCAGAATGATTTTATCACACACAGAACCACTAGGAGCAGAATAGTGAGTCCCCTGCTTTGGGGGGGTGTTTAAATGACACTGGACACCCATCTCTGGGACAGAGAACGGGTGGGTGGACTTGAGGTCAATGTCATGCAAACCCTCTGGAAACATGGAACCCTAACCCTCTTCCAGTGAAAGCATATGCTGAAGCCCGGGTATAACACAGATAAAGGAGGGATTGCTGGGGCTAATTCAAGGGCATGGAGGGGCCCACCCCACCCCTACCTCCGCAGTACCAACCACCACTCAAAATGTCCCCTCACCACATATAGCAGCCCCCCAGGGTACTTTTTTGGGACCCCAAGTTCAGAGTGAAGTTTGATTACCATTCAGACCTTCATGGGCTTGCAGAGCCCCATCCCCTGACAAACAGCAGGCCTGTGAGATTTCAGGGGGAGAATGGAAAACCCACCCCAAACCCAACGGAGACAGGCCTACCTACTGATTTCCACCCAGGAAGAGCAGTACGTGTCCTTTAAAAACCTGGGGCTAAGACACCAAGGGAAGTCTGGCAGAGATGGGAAATCAAGTCAGCCCCTTGGCCCCAGAACATTTCCTGAAGGACAGAGTAGGACTGAATAGTGTTCAGTCCAGGAAAACCTGTGGGAACAGGATTGCCTCCAGCTTCCACTGTCCCACCTGAGCCAAGCACAGAATCCCCAAAAGGATCGAGGCAGACACCTCTGCCTCATAGAGGAGGAGCCGAGTCACCATGTGCTGGGGCCGGCCAGCTGGCCAGGCCCTTGTCCTTCACAGCAAGGCAGAAGTTGTGGATGGGTCTGCAGCTGCCATCTTGAAACTGAGGATTGTGGGAAACTCCCAGTGCAGGAGCTGAGTGGCACTGCCTTTCTGGCTGCCTCTGAAAAAGTGGGTCCTATTTGTGCCAAGTCAGTGGAAGTCCCAGTGAGGGACCGTCTGCATGAGTCTGCCTAACTTCATGACCACCCCCACTTCCCGGAAAGAAGAAAGAGGGGCCAGAATCATTCTAAGGAATAGACTAGTGACCCAGGGAGACCCACCACCACCCTGCCCCTACTTACTCATCTGTCAAATGGGCCTCATGGAAGCCCCAACCTCAGGAGTGCTTGTGAAGGCTTAGTGCATAGCACACAGTAGGTGTGAACCCTGATTTGCCAAGGCCTGAGCCATCGTCAGGAAATGGGGAGGGAGGCCTGGGCTCCAATCCTGGCCCTGGTGGGCCCCAGTCTTGAGACTTGGGGCACATTACTTCCCTTCCCCAAGTCTGCTTCCTCATCTGTAAAACAGATGAAAATCCCCACCTCTCCCACCTAACAGGGCCGTCATGGGCATCAGAAGAGACACAGGGTATGAAAACATTCTCTAGGGGGCTGGGAAATGTACTGGCAGCAAGTTCATTTTCAAAACCCCAAGTCATCAAAAGGATTGTGAAGCTTTAGCGAGGAGAAAGAGCAAACCCAACCCTAGCCTCTAGCCCTGCTTTATTTCCTCCGGCGCATTTACCAGCATCTTACACACTGTATACTTATTTATTTTGTTTACTATCTCCCCAATGTAAACTTCACAAGAGCAGGGACTTTTTGGTAACTTTTGTTATAAGGTATCCCCAGGACCTCATAACAGTGCCTGGTATGTACTAAAGGCTCAATAAATATTTGCAATTGAATCGACGTTAAGTGTGTGAGGCCCCATGTGGGCTGTGTCACAGCCCCTGTTGCAGTAAATCCTCATCACATCCCCAGGAAGTGCTGCTCACATTATTACCTCACTTTACAGATAAGGTAACAGAGGCCCACAGTGGTTGAGACCATAGCTAGTAAGAGCTGGAGATAGGACTGGAACCCAGGTCTTTGACTCCAGAGCTGTGTGCTTACCCCCTTTCCCACCACCCCCTCCACCTGCCAAGCACATAGCACTGGGAGAGTCCTGTCTCCAAGGCAGGCTGCAAGTGAGATCAGATGGTGAAGGACTCTGTTTTGTGTTGGTCTGTGCCCCACAGTAGGACTTAGGAAGGTCTTGGTGGTTAACAGAGCCCTAGAATAGGACCCAGAACATAATAGGCTCTCAGTAAACATCTGGATGGATGGTTGGATGGGCAGATGGATAGATGGATGAACGGGTGGATAAATGTATGGGTGGATGGATGGACGAATGGATATATGATGGATAGATGGAGGGACAGATGAATGGATACGAATGAATGAATGGGTAATTGGATATGGATGGATGGATGTGTGGATAGATGGATGAATGGACGGATGATAAATGGATGGGTGGATGGATGGACAGATGATGGATTCATGGATAGTTGATGGATGAAAAGTGGATGGACAGGTTGATATGGGTGGATGGATGGACAGATGACTGCGGATGGACAATGGGTGCTTGGCAGATAAGTGAATGGATAGATGGACAGACAGAAGTACAGACTGGAGGACATGTAGTGGATGGTGCAGAACCAAACCTGAGAGGAGAAAAGGTGTCGACCCAGCCTTCCCTGCAGCCCCAAGAAGCACAGTACAGGGGCCACAGCCTCTCTTGTTTGATGGGGGCATGCCCTGTCGTTTGGCTCCTACAGCAGAGGCTCTGTGGGCACTGCCCTGAGGCCAGGGGCAGGCCCAGGTTGGGGTAGGGGCATGAGGCAGGAGCGTGGGGGGGCTGACACTCCCACCTGCCCCAGGGAGAGGACACTCAGGACCTTCCAGCCACAAGTGGCCAGAAACTTTGGTTTGTGTTTGTTTTCAAGTTTCTGTCCTCCAGGAAGCTGCCCAGAAAGGGAGACCTGAGGAGCAGAGGAAGCAGAGGGGCTGGGGCTGCGGGCCCGGATGAGCAACACCAACCAGAGAAAACACCCAGGTCCCAGGGCTGCAACCTCAGCAGCTCCAGGGCCACCAGCGGGAGTGGGGCTGGGAGGTGGTGACTGGAACAGGCTCATTCTGCCCCACCGGGGACCCCGGAGCCTGATCCCAGGACCCCTCCCAATCCCTCAGGAGGAAGCAGCATGAGGAGGGGTCCCCAGAGGTGGGAGAGAGACAGAGAGAAGGGGAGAGAGGAGAGAGAGAGATGCAGAGAGAAGCAAAGGGAGCCCGCAAGGCGCTCCTGCACTGTGGGGGAGACAGCAAGAGCCAGTTCTGAGCCCCATCCCACTCTGGGATGAGGCCGCCCAAACGAGAAGGAACCCAGCAGACCCAGATCCCAGATCAGGGGACAGCAGGGGACAGTGCCCCCCAGCCAGGGGTGGGGCAGGAGTTGGGGCGACACTAGGTAGGGGTGGATCTGCTGGGGGTCAGCAGGGACGAAGGAAGCTGAGCAGGGATGGAGCTCAGTCCCACAAGACCTCGATGGGCAAGAACTTCCAGAGGTCAGGATGGCCCATGTGCAGCAGGCTGCTGAAGGGTGACGTGCTCCACTGGAATGGCAAAACCTGGTCCCACGTGGGGCCACTGGCTGCCAGCAGGCTCAGGGCCTTGGCCAGTGACATGCTGGTCACCTGGAGGTGAGGGCAGAGCAGGCGGCTGAGCCAGGGCCCTAGCCTGCACCAATCCAGGGGGCCCTGACTCCCACTCTAACCCTGACCCCAGAGTCCAGTTCTGAACCTGACCCCTCTCTAAACCTGACTCCAAATCAGATCATCACCTTAACTTTGACCCCAACCATAGCCCAATTCTGTGATTCCAACCCTACCATTTGCTATGACCCTGGCCTTCCCTCACCTCCCCAGGGCTGGTGATAGTGACCAACCCCCACCCCCAGCGTCCAGACCCTGGGGTGGGGAGCAGCACCTTCATGTCGATGCCCCCGTGGGAGCGCTGGCGCAGGGCATGGAAGGGGTAGGAGCCGTTGGATGGGTTGAGGTCAGAGCGGGCCGAGATGGCATTCTCCCCGTTGGGGTGGGGGTTGCAGGCTTCACACAGTGACAGGGGGTCATGGAGGAAGTCATTGTACCTGGATGGGGGAAAGAGGGAATATCAGTCATGCTGGAAAAGGAAAACCAAAGAGGGGGCCCAACTCTGTGTGGTGGAAGGCCCATGACTGCCACCAGCCTTCAACTTGCTGGGCCCCTCCCACCTCCTGGCCTCTGTCTGGATATGGATGGATGGACGTGTGGATGAATGGAAGGACAGATGAATGGATCACCCCCTCTCCTAGTGTTCCATGCTCATCATTCAGGTCTCTGTTCGGGAACCCCTTCCTCCAGGAGGTCCTCCATGCCCCCCATCCCAAGCCAGGCAAGGCACCCCATTTTTCCTGAGAGCATTCGTCAGGACTCAGCCTGAGCTACACATCTGCATCAGTGTGAGTACTTGATGGGTGTCTGCACCTCCCACAGGACAGGGCACTCCCTGAGGACAGTGGGGAACGAGTTTTGTGCCTGTTTCCTTGATACCGAGCACAGTGCCCAGTGCAGGGTGGTCACTCTACAGATGCTCAGCATCCTCACCTGTAACATGAGGACAGTAATTTGACCCATGGCAAGCGCAGCCACCGCTGTACTGGCTGTTAAATGTTCTGACCACCCCTGGCTGTCCCGCTGGGGCTGGCTGGGAGGTGTAAATGAGTTGTCACAACATAGCACACAGAAAGCTCTACATGACGGCTGGCCCATGGCTCACTTGGGTGAGTGTGGCGCTGATAACACCAAGGCCATGGGTTCGGATCCCATATAGGGATGGCCGGTTAGCTCACTTGGGAGAGCGTGGTGCTGACAACACCAAGTCAAGTGTTAAGATCCCCTTATCGGTCATCTTTTTTTTTTTTAAAAAGAAAGCTCTACATGAGTTCAGTCCCACTCCCCCTGCACCCCCGCCGGAACCCACCTTATCAACCGGACCATGGAGTCGATGTCATGCACTAGCGACTGGTTCCGCCGGAAGATCTGGGCCCGGGGGCTCCCGTTGTAGGAAAACCAGTCCCCATACTGGGCCACCAGGGCCTGCAACCCACTGGCATTGAACACACTCTCAAAGGACCTGCTAGGGACAAGGATGGTCACCCACAACCCCCACTAGTCTCACTCGGCCCTGGCCAGGGAGGTGGAGGGGCGGTCACACCAGAGCATGATCGCTAACAACTACAGGTCAGGATAGCAATAATAAAATCTTTTGTTTCTGCTGGGAATGGCTTGGTGGGGTGGCCAAGAGTGGGCTCTGGGGTCCAACAGACATGGGTTCAAATCCTGGCTTCACCGCTCACCATCAGGGGAACTTTGGAAAAGTCAGGCACTCTCACAGGGCCTCAGTTTCCTTGTCTGTGAAATGGGAACAAGAACCATAGCTATCACGTACAATGGTTGTAAGGATCAAATGACATAACTGAGGGAAAGAAAAGTGAGCATCAGGAAGTGGTGGCTGTGCAGCCCAGTCAAGGCAGATCCAGATGGACAAGCTGGCAGGGTCAGGACCTGAGCTTGGCCACCCCGTACTACCACCACCCTGCTGTGGGTACAAGAACTGGGAGGTCACACGGATGCTGATCTAAGCCACGCAACACCACAGAACTGTCAGGGCTTTCCTGGCCAGAGAAGGGAGTCTGGTGAGTTTCTTTGCTCTGGGGGTTTAAAAATATCAGATGGGGAAGGACCCTTCACCCGCATGGAGAGCTGAGCAAGGGGTGAGGCAGACACCAGGGCTGATGGGTCGGGGAGGGGAGAGGGTGCATACGGTATGTTGTAGCTGGCCCAGTAGGTCTTCTGGTAGAGTTCTGAGGTCTTGTCAGCCACCACCACCATGCCACTGGGACCGAGAGGAGAGATGGGTAGATGGTCAGAAAAAGTGTTCTCACAAGCACTGCCCTGCTCAAGGACCCTCAATGTCTCCCCATTGCCTGGGGAATGGATTAAGTCCTCAACCTTCAGGGACCGCCTTCTTTCCAGTCTCATCTTCCATAGATTTCACCCTTCCCACATGGTCCCTGCATGCCTCCAGGCCTTGGCCTAGGCAGTTCCCTCTGCCTCGAGCACCCTGCCCCTTTCCTGGTGTACTCACGGGATCTGTTCCAGGATGGTGAGCACCCCGCTCCCAGGGTTGGGCCTGCCACGGACGAATGCATTGTAGTCTACGATCATCCACTGGTTGTTATACCTGCTGTGCCCAAAGAGGGAGGACTGAACAGAGCCTGGGGCCACTGCCCCGGCCTCTCCCTGCCCACAGCACCCCACATAGCTGGGAATCACAGGCACTGGGTGACCCGAGTGTCCAACCATTCAACTGTCACCCTGATACCGCAGCTTGACCAGCCCTCTCCACTGTCTCCAGAGCCTTCGAATTCCAAATTCTCTTCCCACCCTATCTCCAAGGGCCCCTCTGTGGGCTGAAGAGCCTGTGAGGGAGGGTTAAATCCTTTCCTTCCCTGAGCCTCAGTTTCCCCATATAGGACTGCTTCCAACTCCAATGAGAATCCATGAGGGCTCTGCAGAGGACGTGGGATGTGTGGCCCTGAAACCACATCAGGTCTCCCGGATCTGAGTGTTAAGGGGGACATTGGTCTGTCTCTGGGGAGGAGGGGCACAGGACCAGGAGCCCACTCACGTGCCACTGTTGAACCTCTTGAAGATATCCGCCCAGCTGGCCCCATCCAAGGCCAAGCGGTTGGCCACAAGGTTGCGCACCCACTCCAGCACGCAGCCCCTGGGCTGCACGTACTTCCACAGGGCCGGATTATTGTTGCCAATGGTGGTCTCCAGCGTCACCTGTGTGACAGCCAACAGGGCACTGAAGGGCTCCTGACTTACCAACCAGGTATGCTGCCACCAAGTGGTGGTACTTGATGCCCATCACAGCCCAGAACTTGAGTACTTTAATGGTTTTTTTTAAAACTCATATCCTGGGGTAGGTGTAAGAAAATAATCTAAGTGATTCATTTTCAGAAATAATTCAGGGACCGGCCCGTGGCTCACTCGGTAGAGTGCGGTGCTGATAACACCAAGGCCCCGGGTTCGGATCCCATAAAGGGATGGCC